CGGCAGGGCTTACGCACGGGTCAGGTCAGCGAGGCAGGGGTGGGCGGAGGTCAGGTCAGCGGGGCGCCGGCAGGGCTTACGCACGGGTCAGGTCAGGGGGGTGCGGGCAAGGATCACGCACGGGTCAGGTCAGCGGGACGCGGGCAAGGATCACGCACGGGTCAGGTCAGCGGGGCGCCGGCAGGGCTCACGCACGGGTCAGGTCAGCGGGGAGGGACAGGGGCAGCGGCGGGCGGAGGTCAAGTCGGAGCAGAAGTCACGTCGCGTGGTTGCAGGTGGCGAGGGTGTCTCGTCGCCGGACGCCATCCGCTCCGACGGTGGCGGCGGTGCGTCAGCGGCCGCCGCGTTCTGGTCTTAAAGCTTCCGTGTCGAGAGGGCTCGGACGATTACACGCTGCTGTCGCCGATGGCAGGACGCTGCCGGTGTGGCCACTTCCCAACCGGCGACGCTCGGCCCGATATGTTGGCGTCGGTACCCGGCCGACGCCGTGCTTACCCGCACCCCCTGCCCCCGCTGCCGACGCCAGGAAGGACACGCACAACTACCACGAGCAGCTGCACATCGTGCCGTTCACGGTGCTGGCGCGCCTGGTGACCCCGGAGGAGAGCGCCGCCGGCGGCTCGGCCGACGGCGAGGGCCCCATGGAGGTGGACGAGCAGTACATGCCGGTCAGCCCGCGGCTGGCGCAGACGGCGCGGGACAAGCTCGCCAGGTGAGGCTGCCGCTCGGACGCCCGAGCTCTGGCGGAGTACTGCGGGCCGGGACTGTGCGCTGTGGCTGGTGTTGTCAGCTGTCCAGGGCTGCGGAGGGGACGTGTCTAGGTCGGCTGGCGGAGGCTGGCCGTCCCTGCTGCGCTCACTGAGAGCCGAGGACGAGCGGCGTCACTCGTGTCGCGTCTTGCGCAGACTGCACGCTCATTTATTCGGGGGTGGGTTGTGCCGAGCTGCGGGGCTCCTTTGACTGTTACGCGGTAGGAACGAACAGCGGCGTAGCTTCGTAAAATGGATTGGGGGCTGGTCAGTGGAAAATGATGCATCCTTCTATAATCTGTCAGCGAGAAAGTTTCTCCTTGGATTTTGTCCACCCTCTTCTCAAAGGTGGTGTGGGTGGTGGCTGGAGCCTAAGCTGGGTTCTGAACCCCCCCCCCCTTTCTTAACTAAATAGGGAATGCACCCCTCGCTTCGAAGGTCTTATTGAAGTTTTTAACGACTATCGAGTGTAAAACGGAGGATTACGCATGCACGCTTTTCACGATGGAAATCTGTGTGCGGACTGCCACCATTATAACGTCCCAAGGCCGGCCGCGCGGGCCCAGTGAGTGTCTGTCGGTACCACACCCCTCGTCGCCTGTGCCCTGCGCCCCTCACGCCGCCGCCGACTGTGCCGCGTCGACGGCCGCAGAATGCTGTCGGAGGAGGCGCCGGGTGCGGCGGCCGTGCTGGAGCGGCTGCGGGCCGAGGACGCCATCACTGACCGGGACGCCTCGCACATCAAGCAGCTGCTTTCGATACTGGAGGACGCCGGCGAGCTGGGCATGGAGCCGGCGCAGCTGCTGGTGAGGGCCGCGCTGGGCCGCTCTGGTGCCCGGCTGCGGCTGCCGGTGCGTGGCTGAGGTCTTCACCCGGGCGTTGTGGGCCAGGGTCGCTTAGGCTTTCTGCTGCGGCCGGGTGGCGTGAAAGTCTGGCGTGTTTCGCGGGAGGCGGTCGGTTCGACTGGAGCGCCTCGGCCGGACCGGTGCAGAGCCGGGCCCGAGTCCGAGGTGTACCAGACCACTCTGACGCCCGTTCCGTCTCGCGTGACGGTGTGAGTTCCGTGACTGTAGTGCTCGCGCGCGCGCCGGGCCCTCTGACGCACCGCTGCGCCGGCCGGGCAGGAGGAGAGCGGCCTGGCACGGCCCGAGCTGCGGCGTCTGGTGGCGCTGATGGTGCAGCACGAGCTGCTGCTGCGCGGCGGCGTCACGCGCCTGCTGTACGTGGCGCGCTCGCTCGGCCAGCGCTGGGTGCTGCACTCGTACCACCTGACGCGCCTGCAGCAGGAGTCGGCCGCCAGCGGCCTGGCCGCCGTCGGCGGCGACCTAGCCTCCTCCAGCCGCAAGTAGGTGGCGGCTCGTGCTGCGGTGGTGGCTGCTCTTCGTGCGGGACACGGTGGGAAGGGTGTGGTTGTCGCGTGGGCTGTCAGGTGCCATGAATACGTGCCATATGTTGCCCGTTCTGGCGTTTACACATTCTGAGGCAGCTCCGGCATGTCTGTGCCAAAGAGGTAGTGGTGATGAGCAGAGCTTGCTGGTGGCAGGCTGATAGCGCTTGAAAATTAGATGTTTGGCACATCCGTGCGAGATTTGTTCAAAGTTTGTTTTTTAACTCAACTTCGTTGGGATTTACGGTGTCATGTACGGCGTTGGAAAGGTGATGGGACTTGATGGAGTGAAGTGCTAAAGCATGGTCTAATTATCCAATCTTGCATCCACATTCGTCAAAAATGGTTTAGAACCTTCGTTTTTGCAATCCCAGCAGTGGGATGAACACGATCGGCGGCGAACAGCGGGGCTCTCCCGTCTGTGTCCGTTCCCGCTCACGAGGAGCTATGCAGGATTGCTTTTTGGTGGTGGGTGTTGCTGTAGAACGCGCCGCACACGTTGTTGGGGAGTGCAGAAGCTGTCAAGGCCAACATTGTGAAACGTGATATTTGAACGCAGTTGTCAGTGTTAGCACCGAGCCCATTTCCGCTTCGCTACGTATCCAACGTTAGCGAGCGCTTACGAGTGTTTCAGCGCAACATGGCCGCCCTCTGACGCCGCCCCGTCTGGGCCGGCAGGGACATGCAGCCGGTGTTCTTCCAGACGGCGCCGTGGCGGCGCGTCGGCGGCTCCGTGAACCGGCGCGTGCTGGACCGGCTCTCCGGCGCCGTGCTCAGCCACTGCATGACGTGGCCGGCCTGCCCGCTCGCCGCCGTCCAGAGCCACTTCCATCCCATGCTGACGGCAGTGCAGACGCGCCAACTGCTAGAGGTTCGTGCGGCCTTGCTGTCGTTTAACGTGTTATCTGCCCCCACCCCGACCCCCGGCTCTCAGCAGCCTGCGCAGCCTAGGCGCGGCCGGTCTTCCGTCGCTGGAGGCGCGGTCGCGCAGTGTGCTACGTGTCAAGGGTGCAGCTCACGCGATAGGTGGGAAAGGCTGCCGTCTGAGCGATGTCTGTCCCCCATCCGGCGGCGCTGGGGCGCGGCCATCCGTCTCGGAGCAACCAGGCTTTCTGGCTCATGCCTACCGTGTGTTCGTCGCCCCCGACCAGGCCGTCGAGTTTATCGCCTCCCGATCTACCCGTCTTGCCACCGTCGTTGCGGCACCGGCGCGCCCAGCTGCCTCGCGCACGACCGTGCCGCGCCCTTAACCCCCTCCCCCCCCCCGCTCCAGACCCTGGAAGAGGTGGGGTGCGTCACCCTGACCGAGAACAGACAGGTGTCCCGCACCACGCTCTTCTCCAAGCGCTCCGATCTCGCCTGGTTCGAAGGTGAGACCCGCGCACCGCCACGCCTCGCCTTGCGGCGGATGGAATACAGTACTCCTGGGTCCGTCGGATCTTGCTGTAGAACTTGGATGTGGCCAGCTGGGCTGGACTGTGCTGGAGGACCTTAAATAAGCCACCCGTGTTTCTGAACGCTGCCGCCTGCGTAAATGGACGCAGCTGAGGCATCGGCGTCATGTCTGGCTTCTCTGCCGTCGTCATTGGAGCTTAACGACGCACTCAACGACGCACTCTGCTGCTGAGGCCATATGAGGTCGCTTGCCTCTCACCCTGGCACGAAGGCACCCATTTTCGCCCCCGTCCCCCCCCCCCCCCCCCCATCTCTGCACTGCACCGCGGCTAGTTTGGCTTTCGATTCCCAATTGCAGCGAGGCGAACTCCGTCCACATCCAGCCCCCCCCCCCCCCCGCAACACGTGCCCGCGGCGCTTACGGCCGGCCCGTCGGCAGGACCCGCGGACGACTGCAGCCCGCCCGACAGCGTGCTGGTGATGCCGGCTGCGGATGCCGTGCTCAAGTTCGCCTGCTTCGTCGGCGACAAGCCCTACAGCCAGGAGTTCCTCGACACCGTCGGGCTGTAGTGAGCCGGGTCCGCAGCCGCGGTGTGCTCCCGCGTCCGCGCCAGTACCGGCGCGCAGTACGTCCGCGTGAAGTGTCGTTGGCCGAGTCAGCGTGATGGTGACGATGGACAGCAGTCTTCGCGCTTTACGTGTCAATGTTTCTGTCCCAGGCCTCGGAGACTCGAGAGACGGACCAATAAAAAAAACGTATTTATTCGACTCCGCGAGTTCAATAAACTAGAATAACTGAACGCGTGCTATGCACGCGGCTCCGGATTGCGTGGTCCGAGTCGGCTCCCGGCAGACACGTGCCGGTTGCCCCCAGACGCCACGGCGCGCCCCGAGCGGCGCCTGCCGCCCTGAGACGCGGGGCCGGGCGCGACCCCCTTCTCTCTCTCTCGCGCGCGCGACCAGGCGGCTTTCACAGCCAATGTCGGCCGGCCCGGCCCCCGCCCGCTCTGCCACAGAATACGGGCACAAAGCCAAGCTCCCCATGGAATGCCGCCGGTCACGAAATGCGATGTGCCGTCTTCGTGCTGCCGGTGCGCAGCGCCGCCATCCCGGTGCTCCCACCAGGCGCGGGCGACGGTCGCCGGCGCGGGGTCCGGCCGCTGCCAGCCCGCTAAGAAACAAGCCGCCGGCCAGGCGCCCACTCCCGCCTGGCTAACACAACGGAAACGCTATCTACAGCCACCACGACACGGCACGGCACGGCACGCGGCACGGTGGGGCGGCGCCGAGTCCGGCCGGCCCGGGCGCTAGTCCCATCCCTCCTCCGCCTCCATGGTGGCCGGCTGCTGGTTGTAGCCGGCCGCCGCGCCGCCCATGCTGCCGCCGCCGCCGCCGAACTGCGGGCACACGAGCCAACAGTCAGTCAGGTGCCGGGCGTCACCGACCGGACGCGCCCTGGCCCGAGCCGATCACACCACTGCACCAGACTGGCGAGCGCACATAATTCAACACGGGACAACGCGGCTAGAGAACACCGGCGAAATCCAGGCATGAACGCTGGCGTGCCCCAAACTGACAGTCAGAGCTTCCTCATCAGAACGATACTGCAACGTAGTTTCTGTTGCAGTGTCGGAAATGTGCGTTACCTTATCGTCAACATTGCCAATTCTGGGGCATCAAATGATTTCATGGGAGTAGAATTGAAATTGGGTAGAACTTGGCTTCCGCACACGAGTCGTTTCTCTCGTCTGATCATCTGGTGACCGCCGTTTCACTTAAGAATTACCCTGGGTGAGGAGTAACTGACAAGCAGAGATAGTGCACAATGTCGCAATGTTGCTCGCCACGAGTACCATGAATGCACCCTGTCGGCGCGTCCCTTCCGCCACCCCGCGCCAGTCGCGTCCCCGCCGCACCGGCCAGACTCACCCCGCGCCGGATGTCGCGTGACGCGTACGAGCCGCCGGCAGCGCCGCCGAAGTCGGCGTTGCCGGCGTCGCGCTGCAGGAAGTCGGGCACCTCCTGCTCGGCGCCGGCCAGAATCTTCACCAGGTCGGCGGCCAGCGCGCTGTCGCGCTCACTGTCGTAGAAGCTGATGGCGCTGCCGGTGTTGCCCACGCGGCCCGTGCGGCCGATCCGGTGCACGTAGTCGTCGATGGCCTTCGGCAGGTCGTAGTTGATCACGCTGGCCACGCCTTTGATGTCTGGGGGAGGGGCGTCGGTTAGCCAGGGCTGCGCCGCGTCACGCGGCTGCAGTGGAAACAGTATCAGGCATGTCGCAACAGTCTACTTAACGTAACCAACAAAATAGCAAACTACTACCAACGAATTAAACCCTGGTAAGTGTTGCGCTAATGTAAACTGGATCAGGTTCACTCTTGGATCGGGGACTTTGCTTACCCCTGCTTACTTTCGTTCCATTCTTTTCTGACATTAACTCCACACGCAGGCACAAAAATTGCTTAGGGGATGGCACAACAACTCGACTCCTGTTTTATGAAAATCTCGACGACGCCCGATCATGACGCGTCACACAACACGCCTGGCCTCCAAACACGCAGCGTTCGCTCTCGGCCACGAGCTCACAAGCCCCGCCGACACGGACGGCCCCAGGGCGGCGGCCACACTCACCGAGGCCGCGCGAGGCCACCGACGTGGCGATCAGCGTCGGTGTCTTGCCGTACTTGAAGTCGGCCAGCGCCTCCTCGCGCTCGCGCTGCAGCCGGTCGCCGTGGATGCTGGTGGTCGGGAAGCCGGCCTGACACAGGTGCGACGCGATGAAGTCGGCCACCCGCTTCGCCTCCACGAACACCTGGCGGGGAGAGGCAGGCGAGGTCAGACGGCGGCACGGTCACGCGGCGGCCGCGGCCTCACGGTGAGGGTCGCGCATGGACCCAGTCCAGGTCGCGCCCGGTGCAGCGGACGGACGGGGTCTGTTGCGTGCTTCGGCGCGCCGTGCAGCACCAGTGGGGCTACGGCCAGAAGACAAGTCGAGGCTTTTCCCACAGACCAGGCGACAGTTGTAGCGGTCGTGGCCTTAGTGACGAGCCGACCATCTAGCACACCAGGGCCGCGATCTGTGAACACTTCCGAATGTTTCCAACGCGTAACAAGCACGCCATTCAGTACGCAACTCCCTGCGGCCGGATATGCTCGTCATTTCCAACCAGTGGTTGCCTGGTGACGGAACGAGCGCGCACCGCCGACTCGCTGCCACAGACCCGAGGTACCCTTCCCTCACGCACTCCACGACACAGCGTTCCGGCGAAGCCAGACTCCTCACAGATCAGCCGGGGCCACAGCGCCGCGCCGCCGGCCAGACACCCCCGTCCCGGCGCCGCGTGCCGGCGCGTCTCTCACCAGCGTCTTGGCCGGGGCCACAGCGCCGCGTCGCCCGGCCAGACACCCCCGTCCCAGCACTGCGCACCTCTCACCAGTGTCTTGGCCGGAGCCACAGCGCCGCGCCGCCCGGCCAGACACCTCCGTCCCAGCACCGCGCACCTCTCACCAGCGCTTGGCCGGAGCCACAGCGTCGCGCCGCCCGGCCAGACACCTCCGTCCCACCACCGCGCGCCTCTCACCAGCGTCTTGGCCGGAACCACAGCGCCGCGCCGCCCGGCCAGACACCTCCGTCCCAGCACCGCGCACCTCTCACCAGCGCTTGGCCGGAGCCACAGCGCCGCGCCGCCCGGCCAGACACCTCCGTCCCAGCACCGCGCACCTCTCACCAGCGCTTGGCCGGAGCCACAGCGCCGCGCCGTCCGGCCAGACACCGCCGTCCCACCACCGCGCGCCGGCGCGCCTCTCACCAGCGTCTTGGCCGGGGCCACAGCGCCGCGCCGTCCGGCCAGACGCCCCCGTCCCGGCACCGCGCACCGGCGCGCCTCTCACCAGCGTCTTGGCCGGGGCCACAGCGCCGCGCCGTCCGGCCAGACACCGCCGTCCCGGCACCGCGCGCCGGCGCGCCTCTCACCAGCGTCTTGGCCGGGGCCACAGCGCCGCGCCGTCCGGCCAGACACCCCCGTCCCGGCACCGCGCGCCGGCGCGCCTCTCACCAGCGTCTTGGCCGGGGCCACAGCGCCGCGCCGTCCGGCCAGACACCCCCGTCCCGGCACCGCGCGCCGGCGAGCCTCTCACCAGCGTCTTGGCCGGGGCCACAGCGCCGCGCCGCCCGGCCAGACACCCCCGTCCCGGCACCGGCGCACCTCTCACCAGCGTCTTGGCCGGGGCCACAGCGCCGCGCTGCCCGGCCAGACACCCCCGTCCCGGCACCGCGCGCCGGCGCGTCTCTCACCAGCGTCTTCGCCGGGGCCACAGCGCCGCGCCGCCCGGCCAGACACCCCCGTCCCGGCACCGCGCGCCTCTCACCAGCGCTTGGCCGGAGCCACAGCGCCGCGCCGCCGGCCAGACACCCCCGTCCCAGCACCGGCACCGCGCGCCTCTCACCAGCGTCTTGGCGTTGCCGATGTCCCGCAGAATGCTCTCCAGCTTGTCGCGCTTCTCGCGGTGCGACACCTCGAGGAAGGTCTGCGTCACGTCCGTGGACGCGGCGCCCACCACGCCCACCATCAGGAACAGGTAGTCGTTCAGGTAGTTGGCCGCCAGCCGCTGGATGGCGTCCGGGAAGGTGGCCGAGAACATGAGCGTGTGCCGCGCCCCCTTGGCCGGCATCGTCGGGTGGTTGATCATACGATCGATGTCGCCCTGGCGGTGGGGGGGGGGGGGGGGGTTAGTGGCCGGGGCGGAGCCGGAGAGGCACCGTCACACTGTGACCAGCCCTTCTGAACACGAGTCGTCCGATGGCTGACGTCAATGATAACGATCATTGATAAGATTTGTAGCCGGTGGAAAACGAGTTGCGCCAGAAGGGGTGCGATTACCCCAGCCGGTGTGGTTCACGTGCTTACATTACGTGTGGCACGTGAACTTCAATGAAAGGTTTTGAAACCGTATGACCATATTTCAGAGTTAATTCAGAACCCAGAGCAATTGGATAAGTATTTTGCTCCCACCACAGTGGAGGTCGGATGGCATTGTCGTCCCTACCCCAACCTTCACCAGCAAGTGCGAGCACTATCACGCAAACACCTTGCACAACAGACAGCCTCACCATTGCTCGTGGCCACCTCATCAAGAGCTGGAGTTCTCTCAACGTTGCCGGGAGCAGCAGCAGCACTCCGCACAGCGGGGTGGAAGCCGACGCCGGCCTGCGTGGCTGTGACCGACGGAGCGCAGCTCCACCGGGCCCGGGCCGCCGCTCACCTGGAAGCCCATGTCCAGCATCCTGTCGGCCTCGTCCAGGACGAAGAACTTGCACTGTGTGAACGCCACCTTGCCCTTCTCCACGAAGTCGAGCAGCCGGCCGGGCGTCGCCACCAGGATGTGGCAGCCTTTCTGCGGACGCACACCACGCGCGGGTCAGCATCAGCGCTCGGCATCGGCAGCACGGACTCACCGCGTTGCTGTTATACGCAGTTACTTGAACAGCTGCTCCCAGTCACAAGCATTCCATTGGATGATTGGTACACTGTAGCTCTGCAATGCATTTGTTGTTAATTGACATCTTAGGGTGCGCCCACCACAATGGCCATCTTGCGACCAGCTCTACAATGCATTTACCAGGCGATTACCCCGTGCACGTGGGCGCCCCAAACCAGCGACCTGCCGAGACACCTTTGCCCGCACATCCCACGGCGACCTTGACAGCGACCCTGACGGCGACCCGACGGCGAGTGGTGCCGGACCTGCAGCATGTTGGACTGGTGCTGGACCGACGTGCCACCGTACGCCACCACGGCCCTGATGACGGACGTGTTGGAGAACTTGCGCGCCTCGTTGTAGATCTGCATTGCCAGCTCGCGCGTGGGCGACACCACCACACAGGAGGGCTCCTGGCACGGCGAGTACGAGGCGGCCGGCACGTTCTGCTCCAGCAGCGTGTGGATGACGGGCAGCAGGAACGCCGCCTGTCGGTCAGCCGCGGGAGCGCGGCTCAGTCGGGCGGCCCCGGGGCCGAGACCAGCCGAGCCGCCCAGGCCGGCGACGCCACCCCACACCACACACCGCCGGGGAGGGGGAGGGGGGGGGGAGGGGCGGACCGCGCCCGGGCGAGCCCACACGCCGCGCACAGCCTGCTCTGGACAATGCTTATGCCAGCAAACCTGCAGCGGAGTTTTAGCGACTAGTCAGGTCCCAGCCATCTCCAGAAAGACGCGTCTGACCCGCGCAGCGCGGCCGGACACCCCGCGTGAAACAGCCCGCATCCAGGCGCCGCCGCACTCGCGCGGCCCGCCGCCACCGCCCACACCCGGCGCGGCCCCCGACCCGGCCCGGCCGCGGGCGTACCGTCTTGCCGGAGCCGGTCTGGGCGCACGCCATCAGGTCCCGGCTGCGCATCACGATCGGGATGGCGTAGCGCTGGACGGGCGTGGGCGTGGCGTATCCCGAGCGGCGCACGTTGTCCAGCAGGATCGGCCGCAGTCCCGACTCCTCGAACGACGAGATCGGCTCGCAGATGTCGTTGCCGGTGACGCGGCACGGAATGTGCTGGTATTTGGAGAAGTTGATGCCGGACGAGATGCCGCCCGAGTAGAGGGAGTCCTCGCCCGACTCGGTCGGCACGTAAATCTCGCGCGGCTTACCATCCTCGCCGGTGGTTGTCCGGGTTTTGGCCGGCTGCGGGGCGGGGGAGGGCAGAAGGGGGTCAGGTGGGGATCACGCGATAACATGACAAGCGACGGAGCGATACGGGTCGAGCCAGGATTAACAGAGACTGAGGGAACAAACGACTGTATGACTGTGATTCATAACCCCTCATCACACGAAATGCGATCCGTGAAATCCTGAATCATCAAAATTCGAAACTTACGTGCAACTCACGCGAAATTAACTCCGCATTATTCGAAACAAACACAATTTGAGAGTCACACAGTCACGCAAGGCCTCAATATGGCAAGCCTCGCCAGTACTCACGTTTGGACACTCCCGGGACTGGTGGCCCTCCTGGCCACAGTTGAAGCAGGCGCGGCTCCCACCGCCGCCGCCGCCCTCACCACCTCCGCTGGGGCACTCCCGGGACATGTGTCCCTCTTCACCGCACTTGTAACACGCCCGGCTGCCACCGCCGCCGCCTCCGAAGCCGCCTCCGCCACCTCCACTGGGACATTCCCGGGACAAATGTCCCTCTTCGCCGCACTTGTAACACGTCCGGCCGCCGCCGCCGAATCCGCCGCCGCCGCCACTGGGACATTCCCGGGACATGTGTCCCTCTTCACCACACTTATAACAAGCCCGGCTGCCGCCGCCACCGCCGAAGCCGCCGCCGCCGCCGCCACTGGGACATTCCCGGGACATGTGTCCCTCTTCACCACACTTGTAACAAGCCCGGCCGCGGCCGCCGCCGCCGCCGCCACCACCTCCGCTAGGGCACTCACGGGACATATGCCCCTCTTCACCGCACTGAAAAATGCATGGATACATTCAAAAGAACAGTCGACACCATCAGCGCAGGCGCACATCATGCGTCGCGCGCTGACACGTCACAAAGATGTTGCATACTGAGCGCTCCAGGGCATCCCAGCAACTGTCAGCGAAGCGTCCGCAACAGCGCGTCGAGTTCTGGGATTCCACCGGGCCACGTCTTAAACACCTCAGTTCGGCAATGAGGTCACAGAGTAGGTCACGTACACATACCTTTGCGACTCGAGGCTAACTGTATAAACACGAGTTTGGCAACCAACAGGTTATCCGTTCACTGGTAGGATATCTGGGGCAATTGGAAAGGTTGTCCAAATCAGACCCATCTCTTCTATTTCAGCCCATGCTCCTACGGCAGAAGAAACATAGTAGAACACTGTGGTTTCGTCGTAACTATTATTGTGGTCACGCACCAGCACCTATTTATGGGCAAATTTGGGCCTTCTAAAATACTTCAAATGCATAGCAAACTTTGTGAGCATGAGGCGCCGCCGCCGCAGCGGCCCGTCTCACCTTAAAGCAGCCCCTGCCGGCGCCGGCGCCCCCACCACGACCGCGGCCGCCTCGGAAGCCGCCGCCGCGCGGGGCCTGCCCTCCGAACGCGGAGCCTGCGGGAGGCGCGGCCCGGTCAGCGGCACCACACGCCGCTGTCCACAGCAAGCGGCACGAGTGGCGGCTGCCGCAGGGGCCGCCCGGCGCCGCGCACTTGGAGAACGCAGGTAGTTGTGCCACCGACAGCCGACGGCGAAACAGAGTACGAACAATCGCGGTTGTTGTACCCAAGGACTGGGGCAAAACAGAATACGAACAATCGCGGTTGTTATACCCAAGTGCTGGAGCTAATGAACTGGATACAGGGATGGGAGACGCTAACATCAACTTTTTACAGGCGTACGAATCTTCAGCAGCTTCAAATATCTGCCAGACAGATCAGGTCATTCAGATCAGCCAGATGACGGATTCGCACAGGCATATCATACACTTTTTATGTAGTCTTTTTCAACAAAGCGTGCCATTACCGGCAGTAACAAAAATAAGGCCACCGAACACGCCCGATACTGGCCTGCGGATGAGGAGCGCGGCAGGGTGAAATCACAGTCCCAAAGCACGCCGGTAGTGAACATGATTCGCAAATATGTTTTTTTAATGATGACAATGGGATGATGACAGTCTTTTCGAATTGCTGACACACCCAGCACGTGCTTACGGAAACGAATGGTGGGGAAAATCCCCAGCATACCATGCCCATGCCTACCATACCATGCCCCAAAGAATGTTAGGAAAATGCCCAAAGCCTTATTTCAAATTTACATCGCATTTCCTCAGCATAGAATAAACGCCGGATTCCGAGCGGAAAAAGGGGATCATTCGCGATTCGGCAAAAAGCCCACCTATCACACAGTCAATTAAATTATAATTATGGCACTACAGCCAAGACCGCATGTTACAATGATTTCAATGCCGTACGATACTAAACAAGCATGATTACTTCACAACCATGGACACCAACATATTGATTCACACACTATGACCGTGTTTTGATCAACAACCTTCCTACTCTAACATGATAATTGGTTAATATTTTATTAGTTGGTTAGCAAAAAATAGTACCTATTATGGCCCATTTCACTAAGGCCGTGGTTATACTACATACTCTTCTCAACATCCCAGCACGGCTTTCTGTGGAAGTGGATTTGTAACATTAGAAAGCTGTTCTGACAGCTCATGGACATCTGGAATGGCAAATTCGACGTGACGGCCTGAGCGGACTGTACAACAAAAAACTGCCTGCAACGTCGGATTCCATGTGCAGGGTTTTCTTCAGCTTAAAAATGACTCGCCCAATCCCAAAATCAAAATGGGGAACGTCCCCCAGTTATGAGAATGCGTGTGGGCTAGACGGCATGCAAAGAAAGGCGATTCCAAACGTAACCATTCCAGTCCACTCGTTCTCCGCAGCAAGGTCCTCGTGAACGACACCACCTTTCAGTAACCCGATATGGTGTCAGGTTTGAATATTCCAAACGTCCGGAAGCTCCACGCTACGGAACACACTTCAGTTGTCACGAAGGGTTCGTACAGCCCTCAAAAAGACCACCCACACCACGGCGTCAACCACACCCACCTCGCAATGACGAATACCAGACCATGCCCGCCGCGCGCGCGTCCCCACAAAGACCGACGTTCAGTCAGCCCTTAGATCACCCGAAACTCATTCCACCCGATCCCATATCAGTGACCGCGATAGGGAGCAGAGGACCGGCTCCTCACATCCGATTGGTCTCCACGGACTCCCGATAGGGGCTGATCAACAGGTGGCTGGTGGTGTCAGCCGATGAGCTGGGTTTTGGCCCCAGTGCAATCCATTTTGCTGTACTCTTGACCTCATCCAATGGACATCGCCTTACTTTTTCGTTTATTTCTGACTGCTGTGAAGCCTAATCGGGCTTTGGATCACCGCCATCACATCAGTTGACCTGGCACCGATCGCTGCCGTAGAGGCAAGGCGGGAGCTTCGCGTTTGTTCTTCCGTTGCGGAGTTTTGTTCTTGAATTTCGAAAACATTCTAGACAGTGCAGCCAACCAATGTGCGGAACCAATGAATACGACAACCTTTGTGGAGGTGAGTGTCCAAAACTGGGGTGTTTCTTGGTGTTTTTAGCCCCAAGACATTTTTTCTCCATAAAGATACACTGGAAAGAATGTAAAAAATTGTTCTCTGTGAGCCACGTAAGATGGAGGCAAGCTGTCCCCGCAACTTCGACAGCATCGCGCGCCACACTCACGACTGAACGAGTGATGCTGCTTGCGGGTTGCACCCGAATCTCTACCATATCACACACAATCTTTCCTTGCAATGCATTCAGTGCCCATGTCTGTTGCTGCTGCTCACCAGCACGTGTTTAACTCAACTACCCTCCAACAGCGACACCGACGCGCTCATACACTGGGCCCGAGCCCGCACTCAAAGCAGCAACTGTGTCTCTCGACGGGCCAGGGAGAAGAGCAGAAAACATCTCGTACACGGCACAATTCAACGTTTCTGGATTGTACGTATAAATAACTGTAACACAACAAAAATGTATACGGAAGTATATGATGTCGCACTTGCATGTACCTCTAAATGTAGTGAATCAATTATCCATTGATGAAAAAAATTATTTTAAATCTTTTTGAATAGAAGTTCTATTACAGTTGCATTTGAAACTGTCAAAAATGGATATTGTACAGAACGTATAATGGTGACGTCGAACACCATCCCAAACACTCGCTTGGGCACGCGGAAAGCCACGGCTCCGTGAGTCTCCGGCTCTTGGGGAGGATTTAGCTTTGGAGAAGACATATTCTCCATTACGAAATCCGAGTTGAAGACATACTGAAAATGCATAAAAGGGTCATTAAACAAAAGCATGGATTTTTTCCTATCGATCTACAGAGCGTCGCCACAGAATCCTGACCTGAGTATAAGGCTAAAGCAGGGTTTCTTGTTCTCCGTTGAGCATAACCTTTACTGGTGTAGTTATATTATTATTTACGTTTTTTAGATCTACCTTTTATTTTAGCCGGGTTTTGCCAACGCACATTTTTCTCGAAATCAATAAGGTCCTAAAAGCAAAATCAAAACCGATAAATAACTTGCAGCGGTTCTGTCGTTGAAGACTGCTTTTGCGTGCCCGCCATTTATGTAGCCTACCGACCTTGTTTTGGAGGACCCGCGCGCGGAGCGGTCATAGCGTGACTGGTTGGTAGTGTAGATAAAGGCAATATATAAATTTAGCTCAGTGTCATGCACTAAGAAAAGTATTGTATCAGACTCAACACCGGTGAGCAGATGTAGTGATGCTAACCTTGTGCGGCTGGACTGGGCTGTGAGGAGGAGATGATTCCTCCGCCCCTGCTGTGTTGGCCTCCGAGCCCCAATCACGCAGCAGCCTGACGTCTCAGGTGGTGTAGGTTTGTGCCTAACTTTGTGGATCGGGTGAACAGAGAAATATTTTATCCCAAACAAATGGTGCAAACTATGTTCTCCCTTATTTGGACCAAGTTTCTCTCTCAAAGTTGGGGAGAGGCTAGCATTCTATCCAACTAAATACGGAACTACACACTTGTTCCCAAATTAAGTACATCTAGGTCAGTACAAGTCAAGGGGGTACCACAGTGTCCCAGAATTTTTTCTCCAGGTAAGGGAGATTATACCTTGGCTAGAATGTAGCTGCAATAACTACCATGCCCCAGATGCTCCTATTTATAATGTGGCTTGCATGACACTCCTATCATAAACTTGACAGTATGTGCTCCGGGGAACGGTGTATCAGGTGCACAACATTTCAAGCATCTGCTTCTGCAGCCTTTATTGGGATTGACACCTTTACAATAAAATCATCAACAACTTTCTATCAGCTCCATAGCTTTAAAAAATACAGCAGGTGTGAGCATAGACTTAGGAAAAAAGCACTTACTTAGGAAGCTAGAAAAGTTGAGAATTGCAAGCAGCCAATCTTTAATGGTCTTTGGCAATCACTAAGACCAGCTAGAGCATGGTGCTTATTAGCATCTGCTGCCAAAGAATGTCCTTTAGTGCCGGCTGTGAATGCAGTGCAAATTCACTTGCGTACTTTTGTTCTCACTACAAGACATGATTTCAATATACTGTTCTCTCCCCCAAGAGCCAAAACCAAATTTCAGATAATGGTGGAGGTACCGACATATCACGCAGTACCGACATATCACAAGCCACCATTGAACGCGACATCAGTAAGCCAAACAACAGCAATCATCCGAGAGCGGTGTCTTGGCACCCGCACCCGACACCTCACCGTACCGTGACGCGTCCACATGCACAAGGCCTCGGCACTGGCAGCCCTGGTGGCGGGACTATCCTGCGCTTCCCCGCCCGGTACCAAGGCTGGCGGGGTCTCTGTGGCGTGACGCCAGCTGGGCACGTGGAAAGGGCGACCTTCGGCCAATCGGGCCGGCACAGACAACGGCGGCGGCAAGGCGCTGACGCAACGCGAGCTGGCCGCCCGGCGTCACTTTGGTCACATGCTCTCGTTTATGTTGCGCCGGGCAGGCGCCTTCAAAGTGCGACTGCCTCGGGTGGTACAAGCACCGGGTGATTGGTCGAGTCCGCCTGGACGATCATAGGTATTAATGTAAATGCACTTTTTCTTTCGTCGCAGCTGGGAATCGGTCACGAGTTATACCGAAAAAGATTTAGTTGTAGCCTGATTTAACGATTGCCGATAACTTTTCCTGAAGAAATAATGAAAAGACTGTTGCTGAATTGCTGCGCCATGAAGTTATGGCGGTACATAAACATGCATATCATTTATGGAGCCATTAGCAATGAATGATTCTGTGCCGTTTCAAGTTATGACGTCTTTTCCTCACATTCCATCCAGTTCATGAAACGGTTAAAACAAATTTGTTTCGTTGAAGTAAAATGAGACCAGTCATCACATTATAGGCAAGCCAACAAGCGCAATGCGCATTTTAACGTTCTCTCGTAAAACCTGCTCCAGTGGCGCATAATTGTAGCGGTAACTATGTATCCAGACTTTTGACAGACTAAACAACAATTTATTGCTGCTATTCATTTCATCAATCTGGCAACCACCCTCCTTTTCTAGCATTTCCGCCTGTCCCTTTGTTAGACCACGAACCCTCTTTTGGAGGTCTCAAACTTCGCCCCAGTGGTCCGCGTGTCAATGCCGTTCGGTCCCTCGGTTGGTCCGTGGCCGCCTCTTTTGGCCCCGGGGGTTACGTTTAGTACGTTCGGCGCTTCGTGCGCGACAAGAAGTCTATTTCAGGGCGGCCTGGCGATACCGGCACGTGGTGAACTGATTGCACTTCCCGTGGTGGGTGGTGACTCACGGGCTTCAATTGTAGGTCCGTGGGTCAATAAAGCCCCGTTTGGGAAGGCTGATGCTAAAAAACATGGGGTGAGGGGGTGTGGATACTTCAGGTTACATTTATAGCATTACGCAACTTATGAGAATTATTACGCAACTGTTATGTTAAATGTTACACCATAAATGTTACGCTATGCATTATCGATTATCGAGTGGGCGACTATTGATATCGACAAAGAAATAAGTAAACGCAAATCAAACCACACACCCATACTATTGATAACATTTGTCGATATTCCAACTATAGTTTGAGCGCTCAAAGTATTCGATTTGCCACAAACGCACGCAGGGCTGTTTAAGACATGATACGTGATAACACTATCTCGCTCCGTGTTACCTCTCTCCCTGACATGACAGGGATGAAAAGAAGTTAAAAAACGAAAGAAACCCGGGCATGAGCTTTTTTCAGCAGCGTTGCGCGAAAGAATGACACACTCCTGAACTTGGAAGGGAATTATGGAACTTCCACTGAGGAGAAACTGACCTTGAAAGCTAGTAAACAAAAAAGAAGCCAAGTTAGCTGAGGCTTTGGAAATCAGGACGCGTTTTGTAATTTGGCTCGCTGAGCCTCCCCCTCCTGCCTACCCCAATCACCGCACCAAGGCGACGTTCCGTGTGTGCTCCCGCATACCAGCGACGAGCTCACACATGAAAGAAGATTGGATGCTAGAAGGACATGTTAAAACATGTCAAAAAGAAGCCAAAATAATCCATCGCTAAGCTCCAACAAAGTAACAACCGACACACTGATGGAGTAATCGTTCTATCGTCCTTGCCTGATGTGCTAGAACATATATTGGCTTGTTCGCATGTGTACAATGTGTAGACTAGCACTCCAGCCGAGGTGGTCCGTCCAAAAAATTACTCGATTCACGATACCAATGCTTCGTGTGAATCCTTCCCTAAATGTACCCGATACAAGGCTATATGCTCAGAGCTGCACGAAACGAAGGCGGCTATGCTGACAGGTTATAATGACACATACAGCGGAGCACATCAGAAGTGAAGACCCGGCTCACTTACCATTCGATGAGCCCCAGCCATCGTCGGCTTTCGGAGCCTCCCAGCCGTTGTCAGCCTTGCTGGGCGCGCCCCAGCCGTTGCCGGCCTTGCTGGGCGCGTCCCAGCCGTCGCCGCCGCCACCACCCACGCTGAGGGAGGCCATGCCGCCGCTCAGGTCGGACGCGCCGCCGAAGCCGCGCCCGCGGCCGAAGGTGGTGCCGCCGCCGCCGCCGAACCCGCCGCCGCCCGAGTGCAGCGGCTGCCGGCGCAGCACAGGTCAGCGGAGCGTGGAGCGTGGGGTGGGGGCCGGGTCGGCCCGTACGGACGAGGCGGCGACACGGCGAAACAATGTGGATACGACACGGGGAAAAGGCCAAGTTCTGGCCGCAGAGCCGAATCTCAAGTCACAACAATGGCATGAAGCGAAAGTCCATGTCCAAACAGGTGGCTTCAGACCATGGGAACTGCAAGCTAGCCAGTGGTTTTGTATTTTCAACACGCGCGGCCGAACCCGAAACCAGGAGCTTCGAACTTTGTACACACAAAGCCACTGAAGCCTGGGACCTTGTACTTAGGAAATGTGAAGCCAAGGCCAAATCACATCAATGCAAAATCAAAAGGCTGTAGCTAAAGCTGAATCCTAAAAGTGCTACACAAAAGCCAAGCTAAGCCAGCAATCAATCATGAAGTTGTGCATGTCACCTATTTGAGGTTGGCAAACAGAGGCTGGGATCAAACAAAGAGTAGGGCATGCAAAACATGTGAGAGCCTATGTCACTCCATTACTTCAACAATCCTACAAAGTACAATTTTGGGGATACTTTGGCTAGTCACCTACAGCATAAATTATTCAAAAGTTGTCCCTTCTGTCAGCTTTAAGTATTCCTTTCATGCAGACCAATCTCCTTGAAGTCCATGCAAGATGCTGGTGGAGTTCCCCTGAGATCTCAGAAAATATGGAATTATTGCTAAACAGCAAGTAATTTAAAACATCAACCAATCATTATTGCATAATTATAGCAAGGCCCTGAAATCCATTAATTCCATGATTCCATACTGCAGCATTCTCCATGCATACCATCCCACATATGGATGGCTGTGTTTGAACAATATGGCAAACTGCTAGTTGGGGCATTTGCTGACATGAAAAACACTATTATGCAGACCCAAATCAAACACAGGATAGGTTCAAAGTTTCATATAACAGCATCTTAATCTATTGATACAGCTGTGCCAAAAAGAGCAGATGCTCCAATATGCATCTTCCACACTCAGCCACTTTAAAAAATTAGCAAGCACCAATGGAGGATTCCTGACAGGTGCCACAGCTGTACACTGCCTCCTGTGGTGAGTGCTGTGTTGCTTGTGACCATCCCACATAATGACTAGATGGAGCTCACATGGGTATAGACAGAAGCTAGCAGGGTACACAATGCGGATTGGACACATGTTAACCTCAGGGTGCACTCCTTATGATTTGGTGGCGAGGGCTTGAAGGCTGGCCTCCTGCTAGGAATGTTAACCAGATGGGCACTGGCAGGCCCAAATAAGAGGGCACTGCCATGTGAGGTAATGAAACTTATTTCATCCAGGGGTGGATATGAATGCAGTTAACAATATTCCATTTCACATCATTCATTATCTTCTGCCATAAATCCTTTCCCCGACAAATGTGTTCACTTTCACTCCAATTAACACTTCTGTCAAATGCATGCCCTTAATTTTTTTCCAATCAGACTCACCTATGTCAACTTTTAATGCTAACAACCTTTCCAGTTCAATCCTTATCCATGTCTACCCTTAGTCCTAAGTGGCATTTAGCAAACCTTAGCCAGTCAACTTTTAATTATTTTCACTTTTTCCCCTCAAAGGTTTTATTTTTCTTTCTTTCTGGTTTGTCTTTAACTTACTCAACTTTTTGTCCAGCTTTTCAAAATCAACTATTGACTTCTTTCATGAAGTTTGAAAAGCAGGTTACCCCACTTACCTATTGCTATTTTTCTCTTGAAATTCCCCATTTTTGTACTTGTTTCAGAACCCCAAAATAACTTTACTTTGCACTGCATTTTCCAGCAGACACATGGCTTATGCACACAACAAGTGACTCACTTTAGTGTAAACAAAGGGTTAGCATTATTTTTCACCAGTACCCTAAGGTGGCTTTTTCAGCAGCTTACCTTTGATGGTGGTGCATCCCAATCATCATCCATGTTTGGTAGTTTCTGTAAAAACACAAAGACCTGTGGGTCACAATACACCACACTATAGAAACACATGCAGCTAACAGATGAAAAACACATGAAACAATGTATATTATGCTTTGTGCTCTACTAATGGGTACATCACCACAAGCTAAAATAATAAAATACCACTTTTTGGTAAATTATCTTATGCTGAGTTAACATCACAGTCATCCTTCTGTCATCTGGGTGATTTATTATACAATCCCTTTCATGACAATGACAATGATAATTTAGGCTTTGGGCCACACCAGTTACATTGGTTATGTGGCACCCATAATCTCTGATGAGGTTTGGCACCCATATAATGTGTTAAGGATTAATGCATAAACCTGGCACACCATACCTGTTTTTCAGTCAAGTGCATAAAGCTATGTCAAAAAACCATAACAAATTTAAACACGTTTCATTTGATTGCATTTTCTTTTTATGCAAGTACTCATTATAGTTAAGAAAAAAACAATTTGAGGCACATCTTTAGAAATGGTAATGCCACTGCAGCAGCAGCAGTCCAATGGTTTACCAAAAATTAAAGGGTATTAATAGCCATGCAATCCCTTTACTGATTAAGTCATTTATTCTTTTAGGGGAATAATCAAACCTTGTTTTCACAACAACCTTTGGCAATCTTTAATCACATCACATTAAGGTGCCTACATCACATTTAGTTACCACTACTTCACCACTTAAAATCCATTCATGCCTGAGGCCATTCTGTTGCAGCAAAACCCAGCATTCATAATCTTTACAAACAACAATTCACTTGACCATGCAAACTTTCAAGAGCTTTTAAACTGATCTGCATAAAAATGGCAGAGAAGATATTGTTCATGTCATGCCATTTGAAGCTATACTTATTCTTGAAATGATGCCCACCTGCACCTATTTTTGAACATAGAGCACACAAACAATAGAAGCATTGCCAAGTTTTTACCCCCAGAATTTCAACACAGGTGATTCATCCAGAGCACTAAGTAAGTTAACAGTGACCTTGCCAATACATGTGCCAAAACGATGACCCAATTGCCTCAAGTGCCAGAACTGTCTACAAAATTGATTCAATGTCACGTGTTGCAAACACATTCCTAGGAGCAAGCGAAGGAAACAGTGATGGGATCAACGGTTACAATGTCAATTAGAATAACTTAGAAGTGACAGCAGCATGCCAAAATCAGAAACAGACCAAACTGATTTACGCCCATTGCTGGTGCGCCAGATCCACGCCGACTTTGTCCGGCGCCGCGGATGCTCACAATCCGATCCGCGAACGGACCCTTTCTGAGCTTTTAATGATGCTGACACGTCCCTTTACTAACCGACGATTCTAACTCTAATCAGAACGGCTTTCAAATAACAAACGGGCAGGCAGGCAGACTTAATCTGTAAGTCTCGGCGGTTTCGTGCTTGCATCAGAACGCCGGGAGGTCGCTTTTGAGTTAGCATGTAGAACGAACCTGGACTAACCTGAATGGTTGACGGAAGATACAAAGAAGACTAAAGAGGTTATGTAGTTGAAACAAAGAGAGATCCAAGACAAAACACGGCGGCGGCCCGATCCGACGACCACGCCGACGCCGACTCCCGCCAAACTCCCAGAACCGGAAGTGACCTTGAGGGAAGTAGAGCAGATGCTAATCGGAAATATTTCCAGCTGTGCGGTAGAATTATAACGCTTCGGCTTAACACATGCCGGATTTTAATTTTTATCCTTTGCCATCCATGAGTTCTCCATAAACTGAAAGAAAAAAGGAATCCAATTAAACTTTTCGTTCCTTGATAAGACCTCTCTAGAGAAGAACACTACTAAGTTAATGTCATGGTAAGTTTATGCGCGAACTTCTACGTTGAATTGGGGAGGTCGCCAGGTCCTTAAAATGACAGTCATTCTAAGTGTTGGCGCATTCACAAAAGATACAAGTTCTGGGGGACACTCATGACTATTTGGGGCCGTTCCGTGCATAGTAGCGGGGGTGTGGATCTTGGGAGCTGCCATGGGACCCTGGGCAGATAAATGCCCTCTTGCTCTGCGGTGACTGATTCGCTGATTGTCCCTCTCCCGGTTGCAAAGACGGGTCGGCGTCGGGATTGCGGCGGGCATGTCCTGGGCGCAGACTGCGGTGTCGGGTTAATGAGACGACTGAGAATGGTCTGTTTTCCGGTGGAGGTGGTCACGACACAGGACCGTTTCACGTGCAGTGGAGTTGACTTGTGGCGATGTGGCTACGGTGGAATGTCTCTTTCATTGGGGCTTTACGACGCACCCAGCTGCTGAGGCTACATGGCGTCGCCCGCCTTTCACTCTGGCAGGAAGGGCGGGCACCGCGGAGAATCGAACCCCGTACCTCTGGTTTCCCAGACGCGCAGTGGTTAACGCGGACGCATTAGCCTCTTCACCACCGGCACCATTGCGGTGAGACGAGCGCTGGCTGGCGCCGTCTGCTCAGCCGCGGGTGAGGCGCAATTGCTGACAGTGCCACGATGAATGATGAACATCACTAGCGAGCCCGGATGGACTGGATCAGTCTAATGACGCTTCAGCGGCAGTAGTTATCACAAGCCTCGCGGTGAGCGGCTGGGCTCCATCGTGGCAGCACGTAGCCGGAGCGAGCGTAGATAGCCAGATCGGCGAAGGGCGCATTTCCGAATTGGTGTGATAGATGGGCTACACCGCTACCACCAATGTAACTTTTGGTGTTCCGAAGTCTCGCCTCCGGCTCGCTGGTGCACATAGTACGTCCAAAGTCACTTCTGTACTTGATACCCGTCACGGGTACTCGCCACAGTACGCTCCGCCGGCGCGTCCGTTCTCACGCCGGCGGCTCTCAGAATCTTCCCTTTGCTACCGCCTCCACATCTGGCCCCCGCGGCCGCGTCCCTCGCACGGGGCGTCTGGGGCAGGAGGAGGAGAACGCGAGCGCCTCTAAGCGGCGCTCGCCAAACTACGCAAACATTCACTGGCTAGCACATACGTGTTCTCTGACACCACACCGCCCCCTTATCTTTTCGAGAACTGTGAGAGCCAGAGTAACAAACCTACCAGGATAGATGGATGCTGCAGGGGGGCACGTTCCGTGAAAACATCATGACCTTAGGCTAATGTCATCAGGGTCAAAAAGGTCGAACACGTCCAATTTTGAGTGTTTTACTCGGCTTGTCTCGTCATTCTTGTGAGTCGCTGCGACTTCGTTTAAGTGCTCCAAGTTTGGACTACTTTTTTGACGGTGGTATACGACACAGTATAGATGTAGCAGTGAATGACTTCACCCCGCTCCAGAGTGGTGCGGTCGGTCGGTCGATTGGCTGACCGGCCGGTCGGACGGCCGATCGGACGCAGTGGGCTTTCTGTGAAAACGACAATCATGAATACTAAGAGCGCATCAGCGCCGATTTTCACGCTCTGGTGCTGGCTACGTTATTAACTTCTCGTCGGTCAGTGACTTCACTTTTTCCGGTCGATTTTGTTCTTTGCCTTGAGCGACGCGCTAGGGCTTCATTTGCACGTAAACGAAAAATGTACAGATATTCCTGTTCAATCTAGACATATGCACCAAAAATAGGAAGGGGGATTCTGCTCCTCCCTCCATTGAACGTGTGAATACATCCCAAAGATTTGGTGCCGAAGTAATATACCCTGGGGCTATATTTGCGCATGCCCCGTCGAGAAAGAATGCCGATGACGCCGACGCACTAGCGCAGGCGGATGCATGCCGGAATGGTCACGGTTCTTCGAGATGGGCACAGCCCGCTGCTGAAGCGCTCTGGTGACCTTGGCGACCATCGATTTGTAATGTCCTTGTTAGAACATGGCTGCTTGGGTTACGTCAAAGGCCACCCAAAGCCGAACACAGCCAGCTGACAGGCAAAACACTTTACGGACAACTCGACTCAGAGCTTCGGGTCTTTCGCATTGGTCTTCATCAAAATCTTCCCCAACCAATGCGCAATGGTCAACAACACCTACCCTTTTCAGAACAAGTCCGAGTTGGGTCAGGTGAAAGGTCAACAAGAGCTATCGAGAAAGCCCAAATTAAGTTGCACACAACACTAAGCCCCGAGCCTATAGAACCGATCACTTCGAAACCTTAACCATTTGGTGTAACATGGTCTCCAGTGTAACCTCTCCAGGGCATGGTGACATGGGGTCAGGTCGAAGGTCACTAGTAATGCCCGAAACCGTATCGATTTGCTCGATCGGCACAGATCTTGTGGCGATCAGCCCCATAGACTCGGGTCAGGGAGTTGTCTGCGGCCAATTTTCGCAGCTTCCGGTGTCGATCATTCGCGTGATCCCAGACCATCATGCCATACAAGGATAAGTTATGGACCATGATGCATCGATCGTTGAACTTTTGTGGCGATAAGCGCCACAGGCCGCTTATCCGCGGCACATCCGGTTGCCGATAATCTTATTCTTTGTTTCTGATGTTTTGGGGGCAAAATTTGACCCAACCCCAGGTCGAAGTTCATGATTCAGTCATCGTGATCTGGAAAGGACAGATCGCCAACTGTTTGTAGCATGGGATGGTAAGGTTTTCGCAACGATCGCTCCATAGCCTCGGAGCACTGGGCTGTCAACAAGCTTTGTCATTGGCCTAGTCTCAGCCAAACAACCGTATCCGAGACACCAGCTTTGAGTCATAACAAATGCCAAGCAACCGAAATATACCGCTGTAGCGTATATCTGGATAGAGTTGCTCGACGAAAGCACCGTGATAACCACATTACGGGACGAGATCACAGCGCTGTGCTGGACGAAACATCAAACCACGGTTCTTTAAACTGCTCCGGCCGGCGGCCTTCAATCCTTTGTGGTTTGTTTTCCCGACTTGCTAACTGTCCTGTCCAGCCGAATATTTCGCGGGTGGACGCTGTCCGCCCACTGCGTGTTTGGCGAACGTTGGCATCGTGCGTCCGCCAGTTGAGGAGAGGCACACGTGAGTCGAGGACCGTGCCACTTCCGGGCAAGGGACGGGACCACCCAACAAAAGCATCGGCCTCAGGCGATGGGCGCCCCGGCGGCAGCCGAACTCGCAGCTGTGATCACGTCGAACGTCAGATGCTGAATCTGCTTTGTTGAACGCATATAGCAGTCGTGGCATTTGTATTATCTAAGAAGACAACTGAAAAAGTCAACAATGATGATGATGATTCAGGCTTCACGGCGCGCCGGCTTCCCTGGCCATATGATGTCCATAAAGCCAACGTTTATACATGAACAAACATAGCGTTGGCATCACCACAGCCACAACGGTTCAGTGCGACTCAACCTTCCGAACAAGGCTCGATAACAAACACTATCGTTATCGGCCAAGCGCATGCTCATCTATGCACTTACGCCTTCGGGATTTCTGCCGCCACGGTTTCCAGCCGCGTACAGCCAGCGGCGCACCCCGTGTGACGAAGGCACAAACACTACTTCACAAGACAGACGACATAACCGCCTGTTTATACTGTAGTCCTCGGTATCCACACGCACCAGCCCGCCACGCCAGGTCGCTACCGGTCGCGGTGGTGCCGGTGGCGATGGCGATGCCTCTCGCCGTCCGCCCGCCGCTCCCCGCTGCGGCGTCGGTGGCGACGCGGCTCGGGTTCGACGCCGCGCTCCGGTGAGGTGTCGCGCTCCGAGCGCCGCCGGTCCGGCCGACGGTCGGGACCGCGCTGGGCCCGGCTGGCCGCGGCGGCATCCCGACTCGGCCGGCGGTCTCGGTCCCGGCGGTCAGGGTGCCGACGTTCCGGGTCCTGACGGTCCGGGTCCCGGCGGTCCGGGTCCCGGCGGTCCGGGTCCCGGCGGTCCGGGTCCGAGCGGTCAGGGTCCCAACGGTCTCGGTCCCGACGGTCTGGGTCCTGACGTTCCGGGTCCTGACGGCCCGGGTCCCGGCGGTCCGGGTCCCAGCGGTCCGGGTCGTCCCGGCCGGACCGGCGCGGTACGGCCGAATCATCGTGGTCAAACCGACGGGACGCGCCGGAGCCGTCCCGGTCGGACCGGTGCGACGCTGCGCCTCCGTCCCGGTCAGGATGTCGGGACCCCGCCGCCCCCTCCCAGCCCCGGACGGCCGGGGGGTTGAGGACGAAGGGTCGCGCCACGCCGCCGAAGCGCAGCTGACCTGACTCCTTCCTGCCGCCGAGACCGCCACCTGCGAGCATAAAGGGACGACGCTTATAGTGGCCCGGTTTGACAAGATGCGCATGAGTTCCTTCAAGACAGATAACAGCTCATCCTCACCTCCCACTAAGTGGGTTCTTCGACTGACAAAGACGGGAGAGAATGTGCGGCCCAGAGTGGCGGCAGCCCCCCTCCCCCACCCCACCCACACACGCAACTCACCAAGCCGGCGCGGTCGCCAGCCGGGCAGGCCGCGGCTGAACTCGGGCTCCACCACCACGTCGGCCCCGGCGATACAAAGGCGGCGGCAGGCGGCGCGCGCGGCGGCCGCGTCCCGCCGCCGGTTGAACATGACGAACGCGTAGCCTCGGGGCGCGCCCGTCACCAGGTCCCGGAGCAGGCGGATCTCACGCAGTTCGCCGAACCGGCCGAACGCCTGCGGGCGGCGGCCGGGGTGCTGAGGCGGGGGACGACCAGGGAGGGGGGGGGGGAGGCACGACGCGGGCTTTTGTGGCGCGTCTAAAGGCAGCTGCAGCGCCGACCCGCTGTGACTCCGCGTCGACACGCGGTGCTGGTGTGCCGATACCATCGGAATGGGGACTAAAGAGCATGTGGGGCATGACACGAATCAGATTGCACGTTTAGACGCCAGGTCTTCTAACCAGTGGATAGTGTGACCCGTTCCGGACTGAACTACACGTGCGCATGGCGCGTGAAGGCACATTGGCAAACAGGCGTAAAATTTGACACGCTTTCTAATGTGCCCCTCCAGACTCACCGAAAAAATCTCATCGTCAGCCGTGCTGTGGGGCTCACGAAGGGGATCAGAAGATTGCTCGCGATGATAACATGGCATGACCACAACCGGAAGAACATTCGGGGTCCAATGAACACTCTGGCGACGGTAAATCAACTTTGTACACGACTCATCTTAAATGGTGCGACATGCGCTGTTTTTTACAACAAACTACAATCGCATGTTTCCAGGCGCACACACCTGCAGTGGTTTCAACCCACCTTCTCTATATCAGCCTCCTCAGTTTCACGAGAAAGCCTTGCCACAAACAATGTCCTTTCTTCAGATCCCTTTACATCCCTTGGCTTCTGATAGGTGGCAGCTAGGGCCCGACTGGCAGCTTTGTCATAGGGCAAAACACCAGATCTGTCCTTGTAGCCAGCTTCGATCGGACAGTAATAATCAGTAAAAAAACGTCCTGGTGGTGGCTTCCTGTGGTCCATGTCTGAAAGCAGATCATGGAAACAGCTTGTAAGGAACTGATTGACATTTATACAGGTTTGGAACTAAGACAGCCATTTTCATGGTCATTCACTCCAGTTGTAGACCATGTCCTTTTCAAGGTTTCGAATCATTTTGTTTCTGAGCCTGATGCACATGAACTTAAGCATCATAAGACACAATGCATATGGGCTGGTCACTCAGACATGTATGCAGTCATAAAAGCATCATGTGATGCACCTCATCCTCATGCACCTCATCATCAAGCCATGCACCTCTCTGGTTTTGAAGCATATGTGGTCCAGAAATGTATGACCACTAAAAAAATCATGTCTGCATTGATGCTGCGCCAAAGGTCCCCACAACAGACAGGCATTGGCTAATAGTTGCCTTTTGCTGTCTCTGCTAATATGTCTCCAAGACAAGTTTTGCCATAGTTTACAGAAACCTCATCTTCTTTACCAAAAGATCCTGATGAGTGACATGAGCTTGTACAGAATCCTGTCAGGAGAAGCTGTTTTGGAGTGGAGCTTAGGGACATGCTCCAGGGGTAAGAGAATTACAACTGTATTGTGGAAAATTACAAATCAGAACTTCATGCTGATCCTACATTTTGGACACCATTTAACCAGCCCAGTGCTGTGAACCATTGCATGTTTGCTTAGGGAAGTGGATCAGCATACACCCTTCAAGAAAAGCCATCAAAATGCTATACCCACAGAAATACTTGTTTGGGGTTGTAGATAGAGAGATAGACCATTAGGCAATGTCTATACTGTTTAAGATACTCATGCTCTTTAAATTTACAAGAGGTTCTTTGAGTTTGAAATGTAAACCACCAGTGCCAACCAAAAATTTTAAGTCTGGCAAAACTTGGTCAACTAATATAGATTTCTCTACAGAATTTCATGCTACCTTCTGACTTGACCTGGATAGAGGCTATGCTGATGCAAAGTCTTAATCTTAACAGGCTTTCTGCCATTGCTCATCTGCCCACATGACCCTAGCTTATGGCTGACATAGCTCACAGCCTCACTGTTCACAATCACAATCACAATCACAAACTTCACACCAAGTTGCTCCCTTTTGCAGTGGGCCAATGCGAGGTCTTTTTTCTTTTCCGCGACACATCTAGAGCCACTTTCGAGGGATAGACAATTATTTACAGCTTAAGGCCAGGCAAGGATTACATTAAACCGGCTTTTGATGTCCGATGCAGCCTCCGGTATTTTGAAATTACCTTACGTTAATCTGGTCGATTATTCTCTAGAAAGGCCAAAACAAGAAAAAACAACTGCAGCAACAGATCAATTTGCTTCCCCACGACACAACACGCATTCAATACACTAGAATAACAATCGTGCCTCCCCACCGCCCGCCCCGCCAGGCTCCTCCGATGCAGCGAGTGGAAGCGGCGGCCTCGGCTCCTTTCGCCCAGCTGACTTTGGAACGTCTCGGACCACAATCGAAACCTTCGCGTAGCTTTCCCTCCGACTGATAATTTCCAGTCCGGAAGGTAACTAGAATCCTAGTATAAACTTTTTAAATCTCTTCAAAACAAGTCTTACTCCTTTTTTATTTCATCTAATTTTTGTTCTAAAATCAATTCAGCTTTGAAAAATTTTGGAGGCCACTAATTTTGATTTGTTAAAAGGTTGTTTCAAGAGTTCTCTAGCCATTGTATTGCCTTGGTAAAGTATACTGAGTTTGATAAACTAGTGTTTGCAATTTGGCAAAAAACCCTAAACATTGCTGTTCGTAGCAAAGAGTACGCTGATGACAGCGTGACATTTTATCCTTGTGATTGGTGATAATTTGTTCACGGCAAACATGATTCAGGTGAAAAACACGAGCTCAATCCGCATCAGTAAACATTTGATGTCAATTAAGTACACAGGGCCGTGACAGGGCGAATCTGTGCGGATAGGGGATGGTTTGTGTACCTGCCTTTAATAGTTTTATCATCTTTTGTTGTCAAAGTCGTCTTGGTGCATTCCAAGATAAATAGCAAGCTGTATTACATTCTTTTGGTAGACATGGATGCAGAAATGATATGATCAGTCGTATAACGGTGAGTGTTGTTACAACTGTCTCCGTCTTAAAACCGGGGTTCGGAATGATGTTTGGAGAATGGTGAACATGTCTACCCATCTCCCTTTATGATGCCAACACCTTTTCATCATGTTTATATTCTATTGATAACTCTCATTAGTACTGACTTTCATATGTTATGACTTATCTGATAGTATTTGATGTCTTTGTCATTAGTCATCATTCTGCAGTTGCCTGCACATTCCTTTTTGTGGCATAGGTCACTTGTAGACTGCATAGATTACATAGATTGTGGCCACTTGTGGACCACATAGATAGATTACTACATCAAAAGATTTCTGCTGGGTTTCTAATAGATGATAAAAATAATGGTGGTACTGGTGCACTGGTCAGCATGGCATGGTATGTTGTCTATACATGCTATGCTTGCTCCCTATAGATCAAAACATTCATTTAAAAAAATTGTAAGGTTCTTTGACACCTGTCAGTGCGCTCAATCAGCAAAGAGTTGTCCTTGCGGTCATGAGTGTTTTTATCAGCAGTTTGAATAGATACATAGTTCTTGGTCTACCAATACTTGGTCAAAATAAATGATAGTGTTCCTTTGGCTACTTCTGGGCATCAGTCACATGTGTGACTGCTCAATCACAGCATACAGAACATGTGTGGCACAGCAGCAACATCACAACAATTTAAGCTTATATATACAAATGTGAGTAATTTAAGTTAAGCACACAGTCAGTTCCAATAAAAAATCACAAAATTTTCCTCATGCAAGAAAAATACAAACTTGAGCACAATTTGCCTTGCCCTTGCCTCGCCTTGCACACGAGCACATCACAGTACACATTTGTCATGAAGGCACCCCGTGTGCAGTGGACAGATTATTTACATGCCTGGGCTGGGGTAGAAGCTAGGGATGGGGTTTCCTACCCTGGTTGCAGGTGCATGAATTTTGCTAAAATTTATTGCTCATGATCCCAAGAGTGCAATTATCATGTGTGATAAACCTTTAAGATTTTCATTTCCATAGTAGGGATCCTGGGTTTAGAAACAGGGCAAGGGTATGCTTACCTATTGTTCAAGGTGGGGGGAGGGGGGCAACAATGTTAGCTGCACTCCCCTCCTCCCACTCTTCCAGATATAAGGCTGGCTTAATGCGGTAAAAGGCAGCATCTTATCCTATCATGTATTATGAACAGAGATATTTAGGGGCAAACTCTGGACTCCTCGAGTGCCAGAAGTTCTGTTCTGTCTTTTTATATAACCTTGGTTCTTCTGCGTAGCTGCTTAAGTCCCCTCAGCATATATTTATGGAGTTTGAGATGGTATGATGCCTCCCTCTAAGGGCTACCAGATCAACCAGGTGACCCTGCCCCCCCCCCTCCCCCTCCTGTCATCAGAATTACAGCAAAAGTGCACCTGTGCTGGGATGGAATGGTCATTTCACCCTTGACTGATGACAATAATGTGCCCTCTAGTGTTCTTTTCAGGGGGTCTTCTCAGGAAAATAAGTTTTAGAAACATCTCAGAAGTTTTAAATGGAATGGATTGAAATGAGGTCAAGAATGAAAGAAGGCTAGCCCATGTTTGCCTGAGAATGCTGATTTTTTGCAACTAGTGAAATGAGTGAAATGGCAAAGCAGTGTTGCTCACAATCTCATGTGCAAGAACTGGGAGGGTCCGGGTTGCTGTTTTTGTGAAACTAACAGCATTGGCCCTTGCGGGTAACACCGGGCACAGGTGCTAGGCAGCTGTGGTGAAATTGTTCCCGATCATTTATCAAAATAAATTTGAATCATTTGAAGATTAGACTGGTGCCTCTGTTTTTTTAACACAATTTTCAGGATGTCCTCTGGACAAAAAACAATCACAGTAACACAAACAATGGAGATTCTGCATTAACTCTTCCAGTTCCACCTCCAGAGTGCAGCTTACATTGTGGTGCTGTAAAGGTTAATGCGTCCTTGTTATCCATATCAAATCACACAGCTTACATACATGTCCTGAGTGCTTTCTTAACCTACGCATTAATGTCCCAAAGCATGCAAAGGCAGTTCTTTCAGATGCACCGTATTTTTCGTCTGCCTGTTGGCCATTGCTTAGTAGCGCATCGCTCACCCACGGGTCCGACGCCTCGCGGCCTGTGGAGAATGCAAGGTGGGATGTCAAGGCTGTTACTAGGATTTGCGAGGGCACATTGTCAAAACCAAGTTCAGGATTTTTATCAGTAATTGATTGTGACTGAATGTCGAACATTTCAAGACAAACCTGGGTTAGTCGTGTCGATATTCATTTTGGACCCATTTAGATTTGCAATCTACGTTGAGGGATCCTCAAAATCTCTGAAAAACCGAACGAATCAGGCAAAGCTTCTGATTTCTATCAGTGTAGCAAAAGTCCATCGAGTCATCATAAAATTAAGGGGCCAGTGATTTATTTCATGCAGTCGTTCAATGCCAGATTTCTGCACTTTATCAACTGTAAAATACAAAGAGAATTGATCTTGCGGTAGCTCCCGGGTTCTGTTTCTGTTCTTTTTTCAAGGTAAATATAGCAATAAAACGAGGAAAACTGTGCCGCTTGTTAGCAAACAAGCTATCCCCAGCAATTATTTTTTGGAGGGGTCACCATCAGGGGGGGGGGGGGGCTTTTGTCAATTCTGTCCCTCCTTGACAAGGTTTTGGCTGCATCCCTGCCTACATACAATAGCGGATCAAATCGGCTACTTTGAGTGAGGGGCAAATGAATGCCCTGTGGACTCATTCATGCTAAAGACAGGCCGCTTCCTGAAAGTTAATTTTTTGCCGTGCTGTGGTGTAAGGAAAAATTATTCGGAAATTGATGCTGTTACATATGTTCACTATATGCTTCACACACCACTAAGCAGTAATGCTGACCCATAAGCATGCAGCAAAGCAGCCATGCGATCACTTCGCAGTTGCCCATGCGGGGGACATCCAGGCCAGGGCAGTGACTCGCCGACGGCGGACGGGTGCAGGGCTCAGATAAGGAATACATTAATGAAAGGCCTTCATTCTGTGACTTGGATTTTACAATAGAACCTCCAGTTTATGGTTTGTCACATTTCTTTCAGCAGTTGGTATTTGAAGTTTCCCAGTTTGCTCCACTAAAAGTGCTGCGACAAATGTTGTTTCTTCGAAAGTCGCCGGCGAAATCAAGGTGCATGAAAACTCATCCACTGTGCGCCGTCGATTCGCATTTAGAATTCTGACGTGCCTGTGATCAGGTCGTATGTTAGCGTCTACACTGTGGAGGCAGATGCCTCCCGACGACCCAAAATCCCTACCCGCGCGTGGAATGTTGCTTCCCCAGGGAAAACAGTGTTGAAGTAAACAAATAATGTTAGGAAACTCGATAGTCTCATTTGCTGAATAGCGCGAATGAGAAATGGGCAAGATTGTGATCTGGTGGGAAACAACTGCAGACGCATGTGTCGCATAGCAGCCATGATATGTGATTATTTCCATAATATGCTATGTGAATTAAGAGCGAACAATAACCTCGTCTCTAACCCCCCGCCCCCTCATAGGCTTGCTCCGCAGTGAAAATTCCTAAAGTATACCCTAAGCCTGCCCCCCAACCACCCCCACGTTTTGAAATGTTCCTATGCCTATGGTCTGGATAAGTGTTTGCTGTTACCAGTCCAGGTTTGGAGGACACTGAGAGAACAGTGCCTACCATTCAGGTAAGCGTATACTTCACCCCGACTTTGGTCTTTACTGTGGCAGCTTCAGTCTTGGCTAGTTCAGTCATCTCACCCTTCAAATATGTGGCCCTGTCCCTCCATTGCCTCCCGTGGCCATTCTAGCCTGTCCTGACCTCCCCTGGCCAGCCTGTCCCCTCTGACCTCCCCTGGCTAGCCTGTCCCTCCCTGATCTCCCCTGGCCAGCCTGTCCCTCCCTGACCTCCCCTGGCCAGCCTGTCCCTCCCTGACCTCCCCTGGCCAGCCTGTCCCTCTCTGATCTCCCCTGGCCAGCCTGTCCCTCTCTGATCTCACTGGCCAGCCTGTCCTTCCCTGACCTCCCTTGGCCAGCCTGTCCCTCTCTGACCTCCCCTGGCCAGCCTGTCCCTCCCTGACCTCCCCTGGCCAGCCTGTCCCTCCCTGATCTCCCCTGGTCAGACTGTCCTTCCCTGACCTCCCCTGGCCAGCCTGTCCCTCTCTGATCTCCCTGGCCAGCCTGTCCTTCCCTGACCTCCCTTGGCCAGCCTGTCCCTCTCTGACCTCCCCTGGCCAGCCTGTCCCTCCCTGACCTCCCCTGGCCAGCCTGTCCCTCCCTGATCTCCCCTGGTCAGACTGTCCTTCCCTGACCTCCGTGACCAGTCTGTCCCTCCCTGACCTCCCTCGGCCAGCCTGTCCCTCTCTGACCTCCCCTGGCCAGCCTGTCCCTCCCTGACCTCCCTCTCCTGGCCAGCCTGTCCCTCCCTGACAGCAGTCGCCTCCGTCTGACCGCCAGGGGCTGTCATGAGCGCCGAGCGGCTCCGGGCGCCGCCGACGCCTCCGGGCGGAGCGCGGCCCGCCGACCTGGCCGACACGCTGCTGCCCGACTGGGACCGGCTGCGGCTCAGCCTCAACAACGCGCTGGGCGACCTGCTGCACGGCTGGGGCCTGCTGGCGGCCTTCCGGCGGCGGGGCGGCGCGCGCACCCGGTCGCCGGCCGGCTCCGACGCCGCAGCCGCGGCACCCGCGCGGCCCTCGCCACCTGAGACCATCGAGATGGCCTCGTTCAGCTACCGGGTGAGAGGGCCCTTCCCGGCACAGGTGCTCGTTTAGGGCAGGTTCGGTGGTGACTTGTGCATGAATTGATGTTGGTGTAGCTTGATTCCAGTGGCTGGAAACATGGTGGGTTTAATTAAGACTTGCGGCAAATCTGCTTTGTGACTTCAAATGAACGTGACATTAAGGGTGAATCAAAGCTTGCCCCTGAATGACTCGTCCGCTGCGACGTGCATGACTATACCACGTAAGTGGGGAATGTGGTGTTGTTGACTGTGCCTAAGCTTTAGGTGCCTGTTTGCCTGCCACCGGTTGGCTGCTCTGGCTATGGCCTGGCGTGCCGCCCAGCCGTCGGGGCCGCGCTCTGCCGACGCATGAGGTGCACGCTTCTGTTGCAGGTAGCGCCGAGTAGTCCGCTGGTTGGTGGCGGCACCGCGCTCTGTCGCGTGGCGTCGGCACCAGTAGTTGGTAGCTTGACCGATAGAGGGCAGCAGTGGCGCGAGGTGTCTGACGCGGACAGCGGCGTGTGCGTGGACCGTGACTCGACGGTCGGATCCAACGGTGTGGTGCTCTGGGAAGAGGTTAGTGCGTGCGTCGGCAGATGCCTGCTGAGTGCCCTCACTCCTATGGCTGTGTGGCGTCAGTTCATTGCAATGACCATTTCACATGGAGCTGTCTACTACTTATTTCCGGGGCCTCATGTGGCGATAAGACAGCACATTCCACGTGCTGTCATACTGCCACATAAGGTGAGCTGTTGCGCACCTGCTTGTTCTTCCGCGAATCGAAACGCCAGTATCATTGTGGCGCCTCTCGTACACGGCTGGGCCGGCCGGCTGGCTTGGGCCCGTGCCGTGACTGTCCTGACGGCGGTCCGCTCGTCGCAGCTGGACGGCAGCGGCAGCGGCGAGGGCCACCGGTTCTCGCCGTCCGACCTGAGCCAGCCCAGCTGGTGCGACTGCTGCGGCGATCTGCTCTGGAGCGACGCCGTCGCCTGCCGCTGTGAGTACCGTTCCCGACCCGGTCGCGGACGCATGCGCCCCCGGCGCAGGTGACGCCGCTGCTTGCGAGGTGCCGCGAGGTGCCCCGCGGTCGGACGGGCTTTCCGCCGCCTGCAGGGCGCAGCGCACCGCGGGGTACCCTGCGAAGGTGGCCGCCGCTCGGTCGGTGCAGCGCACCGCGAGACGCCGGGCGCCCTTCGGATTGAACTCGGCTTCCTCCAGCGTGCGGCGTGATGCCGTGCATTGACAGCAGTCCATCCCTGGAGCGTGTCGCGGAGTATGCCACACAGGGCCTGAAGGAACGCCCACAGCTCGCCCAGCGCGGCGAGGCTCACCCGCGCGGCGCTGGACTCTACGGACCCTCTCCTCCGCCCTGGCGCACTGCGGCCCGTCCGCCCCAAGGAAGCCGTGCTCGGCCGCGCCAGTGCCGCCGCTCCGGCCACCACGCAAAGGCTTACGGCAGGCCGACTCCCACGCTCCGCTGCGTGCGGCCGGCGGCGCAGCGGCGATCGATGGCGGGCGCGCACTGCCGGCGGCACGTGGCACGGCCGTCCGTCCGGCCAGTGTTCGGCGCCGGCTGGTCCCGGCCGCCGCGTGCCGCCGAGCTCCAGTGCTCCCTGTGCTCACTGCGCTCAGGTGCTGTGGTGCTCCCCGCGCTGCGCTCTGCACTGCCGCCTGCGGTGCTCCCTCGCGGTGCCTGTGCGGGCTTCCTGCCGTACCTTTCCATGCAGATGTTCCCGATTTATTGACGTGAAAGGCGACGTCATCACTGTGCGTACGGTGGCTCCAAATGTATGAAAACCTTAGCCGTGCAGCAGTTTGGAATTTTATGATTTGATACAGAAAACGGCAGTCTGGTGCGAATTACATATTGCTCTTTGAGGTACCTTCTGTTCTGTCTGATGTAGTGGAATATGCTAGTTATTACTTTCCATGACACACGATTAGAACGAACCGTATTTGCAAATTTCAACGGAATATTGTGGTGTTTAGGCTAAATGTAATCAGCTGAAGTCAGCCGTCTATGTTGGCCAGACCTGCCCGCCGTCGCATCCAATTTTGTGCCTTCCAGCTGGCCTGATGTCTAGTGGTGCATGCCAGGTTCCAGGGAGGCTATTCGTGATGCTCTGGGCTGATGCCCGCCGGACTGGTGTGGCGCCTACTAGTCCGTTTCATGGGCGGTCCCCACGAGAGTCCGAGCTAAAGCTTGCCCAGTGTGGGGCCCAGGTAAGCCGCTGCCGATGCTCTGCAATCCACGCCGGGCTCCCGTGAACTAGCCTTGGGAAGGCTCGGAGATTGCACTATCTTACGGAGAAAACGGCTTCCTGGCGCCAGTTTGAGACTGGAATTCTCGGACGTCATATCGGCAGCGGTGTAGTCCTCGGAATCCTCGCGCCGGCTGCTGAGGAATGACCTGATGCTCGCTCTCCATGGGTCGATCTCGCTGTCCGGGAGTCCAGATCGGGCGCTCTGTACGGCGCGAACGACGTACACACGGCAGTAGGACGGACAGGGAGCGCCGGAACCCTCGCCGTCAGTGGAGCCAGACCGCGCTCGTGTGGGTCGGCGCCGGCACGGGCCGGTTCAGTGCTGCGCCGGCCGGCTGTCACCGCCGCTGCCAGTTACGGTGACCGGCGCTCATAGTTGCGTCGTGACTGACGCGGCTGGCGTCACGCTCGTCGTGGTCATAGCAGTGCGTCGATCGCACAGCTCACCAGCCACCCGGCGAAAGGGCCGGCTCGATACAGCTCACCAGTTACTGAGAGAAAGGGCCGATACAGCTCACCAGCCACCCGGCCAAAGGGCCGCCTCGATGTGGAGGGTTCGGCTGTTCCTACGGTATTGCTGGACACTTGTCTGATAGCAGTAAACTGACGCTGAATATTGGATGTTTTCGCAAAATTTTCGTACGATTACCTGTTAGGTGTCGTCACAAACTTCACGTCCGTTTCGGAGACGGGATCAATAGCGATAGCATGCGTCATAGCCTCTATGTTGTGGCGCATATGCTGAGTCAACATCGTCAAGACTTTGCTCCGTTCAAGTCGTGTACACCTTTTAAGTATTGTGTGCCCAAACGAACAACGTAACGAATAGTCTCTATTCTTGTCCCAAGTTTTAGCATCTCCCGCTGTGCCCTCCCTTGGGGGCCATCTAATTAACTTGTCCCGGGTTACCGTGTGGCCTTAGCACGCTATCCGTTGCGCCGGAGACAGCGGTTATTGGGTTACGTAACCGGGCGCGTCTGTTGTTGCGGTCTGGTCGGCCAGGTGATGCGTTTGATTGCTGGCAGTTGTCCTGCGCATATGCTGCCCTCCGACGCCCCCTGACGGTTGGGGCTGCACGGTGGGGAGCGGCTCGGCGGCGCCCGCGCAGGGGGAGGGACCATCGAGCCGAGCGTCGTCTCGGGGGTTTCAAAGGCGCAACTTTGAATAAGTTGCGTCTTTGCCATGACTTTCAGAGATTGCTTTCAGAAGCAGGCACGCCACATGCTCGAATGCATTGCGTGAGCTTGTGTGTGGACGCCCAGGCGCGCGACTGGCGCAGTTGTCACGAAAAGCGTCGTCTTGAAGTGAGTCATCCCTCATCAGCACGTGGCCCACCTCCTCTCCTTCTCCCAGCCTGAGTCCTGCGCTCTGCACGGCGGCCGGCGGCGCCGCGCGAAACGCCAACGTTAGCCGCCCCATTCCCGACAGCGGAGCGCGACCCACGACAGCGGACGAAGCCACCGGCCGCGCGGGCCGCGCGCTGTGATGGGTCTCCTGGAGAGCAGCTACGAGCCGGCCGAGGGCGGCGGCCGACCGCCGGGGCCGGCGCCACCCGCCGCCGCGTGGCCGTCGAAGCGCGCCGGCCGGCAGCGCTGGTCGGTGGCGCGCTGCCGCTCACGCAGCCTGCACCGGCGCCGCGTCGTCTCGATGCTGTGGGGCCCGCGGCCGCCGGAGCCGGCCGGCCGCAGCCGGTCGGCCGAGGGTGGCCGCGGCGCCGGGCCGCCAGCCGCCAGCGGCCCGGCGCGCTCCGCCCCGGCCACGCCCACCGTGCCCGGCGCTGATGCAGCACCGCCCGAGAGCGCGCCGCACGCACGCTACTGCCGCACGCTGCGCCGCCTGGCCGGCGACATCCGCGGCCTGCTGGAGAGCGATGACGGCGCCGGCGGCGGAGCGCCGCCCGAGGAGCGGGCCGGCGACGCAGGCGACGCGGCCCGGCCGGCGGAGGCTGCCGCGCGGCGAAGGGAACCGGCGGAGCTTGCGGAGGAGGCGTGCGCTGAGCCGACACCGAGCGCGGCCGACACGCCGCCTGACAGCCGCGGCGCCAGGCGCGCGTCGCCACGCGCCGAGTGCGTGCCGGCCGCGGGCGGCGCCGGCCTGGCCGCCCGCCAGCAGCTGCCGGGCCCGAAATACGGAGCGGCCGGCGGCGGCGCGCACGTGCCGTTGACGCAGCATTCGCCCGACCGGTGCCTGTTCGCCGACTCCGGTGACGATGTGCTGCGGATGCTGATGGACTGCGAGCCGCCGGCGGCGCCGACCGAGGCGCCGGCCGAGGCGGACCTGCCGGCGGACGACGCGGCCGGCGCCGGGAGCCCGCTGCCTCCACCGCGGCTCGACTCCTGCGCTGAGGACCTCGCCGCGGCGGCCCGGCCCGCCGCCGGCGCCGCTGAGGAAGTGTCGGATGTGCGTGGCCCGGCCGTGGGCGACCGCCTGGACCCGGCCGCGACCGGCGAGACGGATACGGTGCCGCCGCAGGACGCGGTGCCGGACGGATCTGAACTGGAGCCGGACGTGAACGTGGACGTGGCGTTTCCGCGCGCGGCGGACGTGGACGACGGCGGCCCGGTGTGTCTGCTGGCCGACGCGCACGCGCTCTGGCAGGACGGCGACGACAGCTGGGGCACTGTCAGAGCCGCGCCGTCGCACAACGGCAGCTCCGGTAAGTTCCGTGGAGGCCGCCCGACGCTGCTGCTCCGGCCGGGGCGCGGCTGCTCTCGGCTCAGGTGCTGAGAGGCTCCCTCTGCTCACCGTGGCGCCGGTCGACTTGCTGCGCATAGTGCGGTGGTTGGTTTGGTGATTGACAGCCGACCTGGCCGTCTGGATCCAGTTCTTGGCAGTGCTGCTTCTGATGTGGACTCTGGCATGACCCGGTGTCGCTCGACGTTGGCTCCGGGTGATCAGGCCGGTGTCGGGTGTGCCGCCTGGTCCCCGATACCAGCGAGGTCCACCCAGGGGCGCACCGGGTTTTGTGACTAGAGGACTTCCAGGATTGGCCACGCTGCGTTGCGGCGTGCTGGACATAGCGCACCTTCCTACAGGCACCACGGAACTTTCCCTCGAGGGCGAGCTGACTATCACGCCCTTGAAAACCCTCTATACTTTGGGGTCAATTACCAGAGCAAATGTCAGCATTGATTTGCCGAACAGCTGGTCTACACTGATAAACAAATAAGCCACGCCGTCATAAAACCTGACTGAATACCGTCGTGAAAACAGTTGCGGTCCGGGGGCAAGCCGGAATCGATCGCCGGATGGACGCCACGTCCAAAGCCAGGGCCGATTCGGCGGCGGCCGGGCCGATCTTTTGCCCGAGGCTCTGTGGTGACGTAACGATATCCCCGCCGAGGCTGGCTGGCCGTAGACAGGCATCGCTGTGATGCACGCCCGTGTGGCATACGATAGCCATGTGGATTGGCAGGGGCGCAGTCAGGATCTGCGAGAATGGAGGAGCAGTTTTTTTAGCGAGCTCAAGCTCCATTCAGGGTATTTACGCATTGCAAACCGACGACAGGTACATGCCTCATTGGGCAAGTATACTGGGCGGTGCAAGCAAGGTTTCTCATGCAAGGTGTCATTCAGGCTGCCGTAGAACTTTTACAAAGACGGCCTGACACGCGAGCACCCAGGTTGACCCTTGCAGACCACAGCGGAAGTGTAAAAATACGAAAATACGAGCCCGCAGCGATAGCCGTAAACACATGTCTTCTTCCCGGGAGACAAATAGATCAGCTAACCA